TCAGACAAAAGCTTCATTTGCATCAATTCAGCAGAAATTTCCATTCAACGGCTGTCGTAGTAATTGAGGAAACTGCTGTCTCCAGTAGTATAAGCAGGGTAGAGGAAAAAAAGGCCAAGAGGAGTTTTTTTTTTCTTTTGTCAGCCATTGAATTTCTAATTATAAAAGTGTCATACCAGGAGGGGTATATGTATATACAATTGGATACATTATTCGCTCAATGTACCACATTGGTTGGGTGCAGAAAAATGATTCATTCTTATTTTGACTTTACATGCAGATTGTTATAGTTTACACCCAGAAAAACAGTAACGAACCCCTTCAATAGGAAAGCACAAAGAAACCTTTTAATTTATAATTTCATCAAAACTAAGAGAAATTAAAGTGGTTTTGTGGATAATGACACAGAAGACCACCGTGCTTGGTGGAGCACTTAGTTATTTTTGCTGTCTCCCTTAATCCTGTGTAATTTCTCTTCACGCTCACAGAAGCCACAAGGACTTAAATAGTGTACGTACATGCGCTGGGATGTGTATGTAGCTCATAGATCTCCTCTCCAAACCCCCCAGGATTTGACCCAGCATGACCCAAAAGACACCGCTGCCATTTTAATGCAAGAGGAATGACATTCAGGCAGAGATAAAACACTAAATCCTCACGCCCCGATGCATAAAACATAGAAGCAGGGTGCTAATCTAAGACCAGTCTGCTTCCATTGTCACTGATGTCAAAGTGGGACCTTGTGTCCAGTAATGATCTCTGCTTCTTCAAGAGATCTTTTCTATAATAGGCTCTGGTATTAAGGTCACTATCAGACCAAAGCTCAAAGGCTCATACATCACATATCTAAATAAGGATAATCATGAACCTACACGCTGAGAAAAGGCTTAAAATCCCAGAAATCAAATTTAGAACCACAACATGTGATTGTTCAAAGATACTCTTAGCTCTCACTAGCACTGTGATTTCCATTTCTGAACTGGACATCAAACATTTCCCACTCAAAAACAGAAAGATTTACAGGAAAGAAAACTAGGATGAGGAATCTATTAAGCATGAAAATAAATGGAGCTGAGATTTACTTTGCTTATTAAGAGGGCGTCATGAAGTTGAATATGAACTCATATTTCACCGGGGACTGTTTTTACTCTGATATATTTTGTCATTATTATGTGCAACCATTACAGGGCATTTGATCTAAAACTGAGTTCAGTTTACTATATACTGTTTGTAGAGGTTGTAGGGTGTGATTGGAAAACAATGAGTAAGGTGTAACTAAGGAAGGCTTGATGAGGGGGGGGGGGGGGGGTTATTATTGAGTCTGAACTGGATCATTATATTGTACAACAAATCATTTTATAGCAGAACAATACTGAGTAACAATTCCTTGAGGGACCGATTAAAAGCTAAGATCCACCTCCCATGCACACACTATTGCAGTGGACATATAACTACATCTTTGACCTTTCGGAATTGAGTGGATTTGTTGTTTCTTGAATTCTTGTGATCGGGGGAAACACAATAGTTTGCCCTTTAATTTAAAAAAAAGACTGGGATGCATGGCAATGTGGACAACTGATGCAGTAAAAACCATGATCATCAAACACAGTGCAGGCCTCATTATTTGGTGTTTGGCTGTTATAGTGAGGGCTGCTTGTGAGCATTTTGTTGGCCTTTATATGTCAGATTACTCTAATTATATAAACATATGCTCTGTGCCAGTAAAAAAAGCTGCATTGATCCCTAAATAGGTGTATGAATGAGTTATTGACACCCAGTAGAATGGCAGCCATGTCTCCTGGGATGGACACCTACAAAATGAAAAAGAAAAAAGAAAAAAAGCTAACGGGTCACATTAGCATACAGCTTTGTGGCTGCTGAAGCAGAAAATGATGAGAATGCACAGTAAAGGTAACTAAGTGGACTGTAGTTAGAAGCATATAGTATAGTAAGTATATTTCAATCGGAGACATGAAAGGAAAAATGCATCTTTTTTTTAAATACGTATTTATCTGCAATCATTCAGCATATTTAAATTCAGAATATGGTTTGAAACTGTTTGCTTATTTTAAATCTAACAACAGTGATGGCCGTATGCGCTCCATAATCTAACACCATAGAGCTAGTTTACGATACATGATAGGATTATACATCCCGATGGTAAACAACAGATGGCAAAAGGACAAAGAGAACACCAGAGCTGACACAATACTTTCATGAGTCACAGCGAAAAGCTTAAAAATAAACCTGTGCATCTAAATATAAACCCTATTGTGATCGGCAGTATTTAATTGATAGCAGGATTATCAGACGAACAGAAACATGATACCTAGGATTTATGCATGAGCAGATGCATGTTGGATCTGCAAATTGTCTCTACGTTATGTGGTTCAAAATATATGTCTTAGTTTTTTTGGGGGGCACTGGTTGTACATGGAACAGAAATGTATTGGGCCTTTGAAAATGTTGTCTATTTTTCTATATTTACATTTTGCATTCTAACATACTAACAACCATTATGCGCCATGCTTGCATTGCTCTTGTGTTGCCAAGTTATGCCATTATGTGAATCATATTTTTCTTCCTTACATTCAAGCTAATTCAATAGAAAAGGCTGTGCAAAGCCAAACTGACCCTGTTGAATTCCACTGAGCCCATGTTTTCCATACTGTAGGTAAGGATAAGTGCTTAATCCATAATCCAGCACAGAGCATGATATCTTGTAATTAAGAGCAGAAAAAAGGCACCCATGTCAGTGTTATTTTGTTGTAGTGTGTATTTAATCTGTTCTTCTTTAGGTGTAGCAATTTATTTTGCGACTTCAGGTACTTGAGGAAGCATTTTACTTAAACAAGTTTTGGCCAAATTAAAATAGCCTGTTTAGACATCATCTATTGGATATCAAGGAAATCTGCAACAGTCACAAGCATCAGGTTTTTTTTGGTTATATCTCTTGGTTTGGATACTGCTAATCGTGTTTTTTTTTTGTTTTTTTTTTAAACAAGCAGTGCAGACAGTTCAGCATTTAATTTGTGTCCTCGTGGCTGTGCGCCAGTTTGATTATTGATGGTTCACTTGAACCATCACAGTGTCACAACAGCAGCTTTAAAAGACTCTAGTTGCTATATATTTGCATGTCAGAGGACAGAAAGAGATAGTAAAACCGACAACATCCTCCAAGTTTCCCCGTGGGACCAATTGAAGGCTCTCTCCCTACAGGCTGATGGCTATCTGCCTGACTTTATGTGTGTCCGCAAGTGTGTCTGATAGCATCACACGAGACAAAAAAAAGATAAAGTCACAACTCGGCAGAGGGTGCAGAGCGTGGGGTTTACAACAGACAGCTTAAAGGTTGTTGTACAGAGACTAGAACCCTGTTAAATTGATTTGGATTTACTGAGTCTCAGTCATTCAAACTGACTTAATAAAATAACAGTCTGAGTGAGCAGTGATGCGAAACTCAAAACGTTGTTAGTCTTTTGTCTTCTGTCTGTTTTGTCTTCACTCTACTCCCTCTTGACTTCTGGGTCTATTTGTACTTTTATTTTCTGTCTCTGTGACAGTCACATCTCTTCTTAATTAATTGTGTGTGAATCCATCCTTAGATTAGTATTTTACTAGAAGATTAGAACATACATCCATGATACAGAAATCACAATACAGCACATTTGTATAAGAGCTTGCAGCACAATAACTTGAACAAAGCTCAAACTTAGCTGTTGTGTATTTCTAAGTAGTTTTTTTTTTTAATTGAAGATGTAAACTGCTTGTTTCACTCACTTGTCCATTTAAAGTACTCTTTTCAGGTGCTTTAAGAAATTCCAAGCAATTCCAGGTCCTGTGCCAAGTCCAGCATTTTGTAGTGCAATTGGAATACAACAACCTTACACAGTGCAGATTCCTGAATAGTAAAATCTACATAGAAAGCTTTATATTGACCTCTTTTGAATGGCACTGTTAAGATAGCTGTAGACTGAAATGTAATTGAAAACGTACTCACAGTAAAGACATAGTAGGTGTAATTCAGATGGATTCATTGGGGGCAATAATGTTCAGGACAAAATAATCAACTTTAAATCTGTAAATTGACAAAAAATATACATATTGAAAATAATATAGAATATAAAAAGAAAGGAGGTAATACTCCTTTTAACTTTGAAACATAGAAATACATCCCATCATATCAAATGGATAATAGAACAAGGTGGATTTCATAAAAAGCATGTTAAAGCCCAAATTTGTATTTATAATTATTATGACATAAAAGAAAAGCCTAAAAGAACACACACAAAAAGAAGGCTATAATTTGCTTAAATTAAAGATTTAAATTTTGAATGTATGAGCAAACTTTTGAACGGCTGTGGTTTAAATGAAAACCACATTCATGCATGTTTTCTGGCCATTCAGACCAAGTTCCATTGTGGCCACATAAATACCAAATTTTGCATTTAAAACACATACGGTGAGTTTGGATTTTTATAATCCCTCTCTCCCTCCTTTTTATTTTTAATCTCTCTGATGTCGAACAGTGGGCGGGGCAAAAGGTAGTGAGTGACAGCTTCTGCATTATGCCGCCGCTCTAATCCGTCTGGGACTCAAGCTTCTCGCTAGTAACTGCCTCATCAACCGCTGCAGCGCGCGCCTTCTCTCTCTCTCTCTCTCTCTCTTTTCATCTCCTCCCTCCTACACTCATTATCTTTATCTGTACACACACCTCCACACCCCCTTCTTTTTCTTTTTTTCTATCTCTCTGTATGCATTCAGCATCTTTACTCACTCTCCTCCCTGCTAACGGAGGTGGGCAAGCTTCCCAGTACTGGTGCATCTAGCAGGTGCAGCCTCTCTCTCTCTCTCTCCTCCCTTCTTCCCTCCCTCCCTCTCTCTCTCTCTCTCTCTCTCTCTGTTCCCTTGCTCTTCCAGTGTGCACACTCCGCTCTGTCTGTGCCTGCTCCACCCCCACCCACCCCCCACCCCTTCTCATTCGTTCTCTGTCTCTCAGCGGCAGCAGCTCAGGGAGGCAGCTGTGTGTGCGTCTGCATCACAATTGCCACAGGTAAAGACAGCTGTGTCGTCGGATGTGGCATCTCTACAGGGGTTAAGGGAGCCTTTGCTGCTGCGGTTGCAAGTTCTCATCCCAGCGCGAGGGTGCACATTTCTAATCATCTCCAAGAAAGCATCCTGGAGGGAAAGACGAGCAGAGGATCCCAGCAACCCGACCAACAAATCACAGGCTGACTGGAAAGAGAGCAGGCTTTCAGGGACTGAGGAAAAACCATCACTCAGAAAGAGAGAAGAGAGAACCAGTGGGATATTTTTAAACATTGCCGCCTCCTGGTTGTGTTTTTCCTCTCATCTCTTGCTTTTTCCTCTTTGCATTTCATCGTTTCCATCCACTCACTGCTTCTAATCTGGTTTCTCTTCTCATTTGATTCCTCTGTGGCGGAATGTTCCCTGCAAACAGATGAGAAGAGGCTTTTTGAGTGCTTGCTGCAGTATTTACGGACAGTACACTGAGACAGCAGGGCGCTGAGCGGACAGCTTGGGGAAATCTGATCCACAGCCGGCTGGAGAAGTAGCGGGATCACGCGTCGCAGTTGCAGATTTATCCGCCCTGTGATACCACTGCGCGACAACACCCCTCATTCTTTTTCTCCCCCTCTTGCTCTCCCTCACTCCTCATCCGAAGTGCAGCTTTTTGAATGGATTTGGATAATTAATTGGATTCTACGGATTTATTTTTAGCTTTGCTGGAATTCAGAGCAGGCATAAATAAAACAGAGTGGGTTGGATTGAAAGAGTAATAAATGAAAAACATCCAAAAAGAGGAGCCTGATTGGAAAGCAATGGGCAAAAGAGATCGCAGATAATCCAAGGAGTGTGTCCGACAGACGGAAAATCTTGCTCTTTCACTCATGAGAGAGATGGATTTTGGGAGCTGAGGGACGCTGACTTGGCTACTGGAACAGGCTGCTTTGTGGAACATCTTCTTTTTTTTTTTGGCTTGGCACAGGGTGGGGTAGCAAGAAGACCAACCCCTCAAGTTTCACTTCCATGGTTAGACGATTCTGTCCCATCGTGGAGGGAGCATACATGCATGTCAAGTAGAAATAGCAGTGGATTTTTGCTGCAGTGGCATCCGAACACTGATGCCACAGATCTCTCACATGCACAGATGTAAAGCTGTTCCTTCCCACTCATCTTCCTTCTGTCTCTCTCTTTGTCCCTTTTTCTCCCTGTTGGAAGCATAACTTCTTCTTGTCCTCTGGCTTACCCTGCTGTGAACGTTCTTTAAAGTTTACTGTTGCTACAGTTGGACATCAAGAGTTGGGCAAGATTAAACACGGACTAATCGGCCGATTATCCGTCTACACTGGCTCTTCCATTTCTCACTGGGTGTCTCTGAGTGTGTGCTTGTGTGTTTGTGACTGTGTGTCTGCATGCATCTCTTGCACCCCTCCCCTTCTCTCTTTTCTTGGATTACCTATTTGTGTATGTGCCATTGAGAGAGAGAGAGAGATTACTGTGGGGTCCTTTTTTGAATCCATTTCTTCATCTATACTCTGCCTCTCTTCTCAATGTCCGGCATTGTTGGGAACCTTTCCGCCATTTGCTATCGATGCCTATCACAGGGTTAACTGTCAATGAGCCATAAAGGACGGCAGGGAAGAATGAGCGAGTGTTCTGGGGCAGCTGTTTCCGGGGCAGTGATCCTGGAGGAACCCGAGGGTTCAGGGGCTTCTGGAGGCCGCGGTGAAGGCCAAGCCCAGGGTCAAGGCCCCCTTCGCTGTGCAGTTTGGCCTCGCCAACAGACATGGCTGTGTGTGGTCCCCTTACTTATTGGTTTTATTGGTCTTGGATTGAGCCTGATGTTGCTGAAATGGATTGTCGTCGGTACAGTTCGGGATTACGTGCCAACAGACCTCGTGGATGCTAATCGAATAGGCCAGGATCCTATCTTCCTCTCTAAGCCAAGTGGGATTCCCAAAAGTCCGGATACTACCACCACCACAACTACTCCTACAGTGGATGGCGGGAACCCTACACCTAGAACTGTCACTGCTGGCAAAGGTAGAACTCGCTTCACAGCTTCCACCACTACTATGAACCCAAGAGGAGGCGGTGCCTCGGGTAGCCAAGTAACCCCTCGGAATCCTGGAAATCGTAATGGACGTGGACCTTCGAGTTTTACTACGACCACTGCAGCTCCAAGAACAACCTTCATAATTGGAGTGGCAACATCTAGTCCCTCACCGTCGAATCCTACTGTACTCCATGACTCAACACAGATGTGGACCCCAGAGCATACTACCACTGAGACAGTCTCCACAACGCTCTCCACGCGTACGCACACCCACCGCAAAACACGTGAGTCACTAATATGAGCACAGGCTCGCCACCTATTCTTGTACATGCAGAATTTCAAAAGTGTCCTGGCTTGAAAATCTATGGAGAACATGTCTTTGTTCTTTGAAAACATTTGAGGTTTTTTTTTGGTACGTATGAGCTGCATTGCTTGAAAAGAGTTGTTGTTTCTTTTTTTTCTGGCTTAAGTGTGTCACAGGTTTCTCCATTGGTTATTTATTTACCATTATGGCTGATATGTGAACATCTATGTATTTCTTACACTGATAAGACTTTCAGTGACAGCCCCTGGATAAAGTATATTTGGCACTCCTGTTGGCTAAGGGGTTGTGCGAGCGATCAATAGCATTGATTGTTACAGTAAAGTAATCTGAGCTATTGCAATATTCAATTATCAATATTTCTGCTTTGGACGGTTACCTTTTGTGCATTATTTTGTGGAGGGGGCACAGCATGCAGTTGTCTCCTTTCAATGACGTAAAAAAATGTTGAATGACAATGTTTTCATGGTATATGTTGACTTATTAAGAAGGTAGTTTTTGTTTCAATTATAGTTAAGAAGCCAAGATTGGTACAAAGTGTAAGCAATGCATTTTTACTGGTATAATGGACCTATGATTAGTAAATTCTTCATTGACAAAGTACAATTACATTGAGTTGAAACATTACTTGCACATAAGGAATATAAAAGATAAAAAACCAACATAATTTCTAATGCAGGTGTTTTTCATACTACGGCAAAGGAGCCCCTTTGAGAGCACACCTGCTGCAGTGATAAAATGTTTCAAACTAAATCTGACATTTGGCTCAACAGAGTCGAGGTTTGCCTTGGGGTGCTAGAGGGGTCTATGTAAAATGTCCTTGTTTTAAATGCTCCTGCACATTGTACTTAGCCTTGAATTGATGCTCACTGGTGCATGCTACATGCTATGTATACAATTAGAAGCTGGTGGCTACGTTATAACTGTTTCCTTCTAGTGAACCTCCCCAGGACATTTTACTGGTCAATTAAGTAAAAGATCCTCATAACCTTTGACAATTTACATGCTAACAAAAGCCCCCAGAATTTTACTTAGAAGCAAGTTGGACAAACATAGGTTTCTTCACCAAAGCTTGCTTTACAAAAACCTAATGCCTTTCTCACAAATAACAGAAGAAAGTAATCTTTCTGTTAACCCAAGCTCATTGTCTGGCATGCACTCTCACTTCATTTGAAGAAGATAGCATGTATATGTTCCCTTGATGTGGAAGAAGCTTCCATAAGTGAGTTAAAGTGAACAGCATTGAAAAATACGACTGATAATAGTTTGAGTATAAAAGACAAAGCAACAACATGTCAGCTGCAAAAATGAGCGAAGAGGAATTTGGACAGATGAGGTGTGCCCTAATCCTTTTTTTGAATGGATGCAGATTTGTCTGCTTCTGTTTTCTCTGTCCTTGACTTCAGTCATGCTATGCACACATGCTATTGATTGGTGCCGCAGGGATTTAACTTGCAGTGATCAGTGGCAGACACATGCACAGCTTCCTCCATGATAAATCTCACTGCTTTCAAAATGGTGTCCCATTATGTGCTGGACTACTCTCTTCCTGTAATGTGGGTGTCTCTGATCCTGGTATTGGCCTGTGCAGACAGTTAAAGATTGCCTGGAGTTGGTTGTATATTGTAACCTTGTGCTATTCCATGTCAGCAATTTAAAAAAAAAAAAATGCTCAAAATGCAGCAGGCATTTGATGAGAAGTGATACAGGATCTCATGCACATCTATTCAAGCACTTTCATTTAACATTACATTTAAATTATGCATCAACATTTTATACTAAATGTCTAAACCAATTAGATGAATGCATTTGTTATATGTTGTGACTTATTCTGCATTGACCTAAATTGCCGTGTAATGCCATTTAAGCTTGAGTATTGTTAGATATCCTTTACAAATCCCATGTTGTAATGTGTGATTGAAACGATAGTAGCCATTTATTAAATTATTGATAATAACATGATGGGAGCAAAAAAAGTAAATAATTGATCAACACCCTATTCCTCCTGCTGTACCATATCTCAACTTCCATGCAAAGGTGCAGCTGCCTCTTTTGTAACCATGATAATGAAAAAATCCTCCAGATTACATCCAGCTGGGGAGTGTTCCCGCTGATAATTAGAAACGTGTTGGAAGAAAATTGTGTACCACTTTGTTACCAAGAGGACCATGAGGGCCAAATGAGGGCCATTCATCATTATCCTTTCATTTATTAATTAACCATTTAAAAAAGAATGTCATTTCTCCAGCAAGGCTCATGAAAACCATTAAGCCTCGGTGATAGATATCCAAGGGAAAATGTCACCCCTTTTCCGGCTCGCCTGAGAAAGTTCTGCCTCTACAGAACAGCCGACTGGTTCGATAATCCTGAACACCCTTCACCCTCCCACCCCTTCTATTCCACCACCCACGTACTGCTTTGATTTCCAAAGGCCATCGTTTTCACATTAACTATCCATTATGTGTGAATGTGTTATATCTGGCATTACTGAATTGCAAGTGTCGGCTTGTGCTCAGAAATAGATCAATTCTATTAATTTAAGTATAGTAGAACATCTGTGTACTCTTTATTGTTGCTGCCTCTGTCTCTGTGTGTCATAAAATAGTGATGAATTTGGTGGTGGTCTGCTCTGGCCTACAGGATTCTGAGTATTTGTTTTTTTGTCTGTAAATCTAAAATATTTATGAATTCCATCACTGTTAAGAAAAAATAGATTTTGATGCTTATTAGCTTCCATTACTGAAGCATTGTTCCTGAGAACCCATATTTCTCATAGAAAATGGTTGTACAACAACAATGATCCTCAACCCTCTGTTGCTATGGAGAATAAATTGGCAATGGGCGCAATTCTCAGCAGGGAGCAAAACAACATGCTATTGTAGCAGATGTCATCAAACTTCTGTGTGCATTAAATGCTCTCTACAGAGCGTAATCTTTTGCATTAGCATGCTGTTAGCAGCACATGTTGCAGAATGTTTAGCTTGTTTATTGGATGCTTCCTATGCACTTTTGGAGTTCCAGTTGATCAATCTCTGAAATGTATCCACTAGAGGGCCACCACAATATAGCGTTGAAAGTGCTGCTAGTCGCCATTTATTCCCAGAATACAACTAGAAACCCACTTCTTCCTCGTATAGCCCTTATTCAGTGTAGTTTTGGTGATATTTGGTGACATTTGGTGAGCTTGTCTAGCTGTCAAAAAGTCAAGTTCCAAATACTCCACTAAGATATAACAGTAGAGATATCTTACTCTTGGCAAATGTCACATTGAAAGCATGATTGACATATCTTAATCTGCTGGACCTTACAAACTCTAAAGCTATCCCCTTGCCATAAGCAGCCGGTAGAAGCAGAGACCTTGGAGAGCTGATAGCATTATGGGGAGGAAAGTGACCTATGCACCACAGGGCACAATGTCAGGTGATGCCTCAGCGTTAATACCACTGGGATCCAGCCAACTGGAAATGGGATATATGCCCTCGTCTGTTACCCCTCTCATAAATACACATTTTAAGCAATAATGCAGTTCATTTAGAGAATTAAAGGGAATTTAGGACAAGAATGGAAATGTTTCAGTGTCAGTGCTCAGACATGTTATAATTTATGACTTCAACTTCTTATTAAAATGCTGCATAGGATATATTACGCACCACAGAGGAACAGATGGATGACGCATCATTTTTATTTTGTTGCAAGCATAAGCAGGGAATTAAAAATTAAAAGTTATTAAAATAGGGCATCAGCATGCTGTTGAATCATAAAAAGGGAATTTTCAGTCTTTGAAAATAGGTCCAGATGAGCTAACTTAGTGATGACTACATTTTTCGGAAAGATCTGTTGAATAATAAGTACTGTGACTGTTTTTGTTGTAAGATTGCGGTCTGTGATTGTAGATAATAACATGATTGGCAGGTCAAAGCTTCAGAATATGTTCTTGTGCGAAGGCGGGGTCTTTGTCTCCACGCTGAGCCACTCAGCAGGACTATGTTTCAGTCAGATCATGGCCTTGAAACCTAAATCCAGATTAACAGCCTATCCCTATGACTGTGGAAGAATCAGAATTACATTAGCCCACCTATCAGTCACACACACTTTACTTGTGCCTAAAAGCAGGCTGACTGCTGAGGGATTGTTTTGATAGATGCTCTGTGGTGGGATGTTTTTTTTTTTTCACTCAATGATGCCGAGGTGATATATCTAAGGGAACGTTTTCCCAGAGTTATATTTTAGGGATCCCTCAAGGGTACGTTTAAAGGCCCGAGGAAATGGTTTACGCATATATTAACAACACTGATGTGACAACTGCACACAAAAGTGGTGCTTATTGCTTCTTTTTATCATGTCAGTGTACTGCCGGGAAGTTGAATCTTTTCTCAACGTTTATGGCGTCTCATGCTGAGTCATGCAGATTCACTAAACTTCACTATGCATTACTTGTAGGGAAGTCAAAATGCATTCAGAATATCTAACAAGAAACGTATCCACAGGGGCATACACCGACTACAAAAGTAATATTCTGGTTGTCTAAACATGTAGTTTCAAGCATAACAAGTGTTGGATGACTTTTGGATTGGGTAATGTTTGCTTTGGCCTTAAATTAGAAGATGTTTCTTTATGATGACTGTATTGCTGAAAATCAGCAGAAAACAAAAATTTGGGGGAAATCTTTGGTCTTAAAGGAACATTCAGCATCTGGATGAATAATGTGTCACATGTTTTTCTGAGCCAGTGTTCTTAAAGCTAAGGCAGGGAAGCCCTTTTTTTTTACACAGTAAGTAAAATTAACTAAACATTTACTGTCATCACCGCTGGCCAGCAGAGAGAGCATCAGCATTCATGTTGCTGTTGCACTAATCATCTCATAGGGAGAGATTTTAAGGTTTAAAACCAGATTTTAGGTTTCAAACAAGATTTTAGAGCTCACAATCTTTGCACTTGGATTAGTTCTCTGTGAGCTGCTTA